TTGCAACTTAATCTCTTGATCTTTCTGTAGCTGAACAAGCTAATGTCTTGTTCTTATTTCTCCTGTTTGACCTCCGCAATTCTCACCATCCTTCTACCCAGGTGTAGAGTAGCTATACATTTTGATAGATACATCCTCATATAATGGACAATCTATATATATATATATATATATATATATAGATAGATAGATAGATAGATAGATAGATAGATGGGGAGAAGGAGATATATAAATAGATAGATTCCCGGCATCTTGGCATCAGTTGCTTTCTCCATTACTATTGCACAAATTTAAAAGAACATTTCTGTCCACATTCACGTTGTCGAGAAATATTAATTGACAATACATGTATACTCCACCATGAAAATAAAAAAAATATAAACATCATATTCTCGACGCGCTCTATATAAAAAAATGAAGTCAATACTAAATAAAATTAAATATGAGTACAGCATCAATGTTATAAAATATCTATAAAATCAATGTTTTCGGATGCTCAAATTCTTAATTATTTTTTACATTTCAAGTAATTTCATGTACAGTAACATTCAATCTGTACAAGGCCTGGGGCCACTTGAAGTAGAGGGTTATGTTAGATGGTAGTTTATATGGATAGGAGGAAAAGATATCTGTTGATTCTAACCTTGAACAGGTTAATAATATAGTGATCGGAAAAAATCCTCTTGGGAGTCTGTTCTATAGGGCAGTGATTCGCGGAAAAAAACTGTTTGAGTTGAACTTACTTCTCGCCAATGTAATACGGAAGAAAAGATTGTGATTTGTTAATATGTAAATGGCATGGTAAGGCCTGGTGGAATTAGGAAATGCAGTTAGACCGCGCACATTCTATTGTAGTATCGTTATAGCAGTGAGAGACACGCCACATCCCGTCTGTGAGAGGGGACGTTGGAGTGTGGATAATAATTCTCCAACAGAGACTCGGAGACGCTAGTGAACTCTGGCAACAGTATTCCACTTCGATCTGATATGACTTTTATAAAGGTAGAGGATATCACGCGGGGTCAGATACTTACTAGAGCTGTACAAGGAGCCGATCATTTTATCCTCATCTTTAGTGATGGATCATATATATGAATTCCGCTTAAGGTCGTGTATAATCCCAATATTCTTTCTAGTCACGAGGCCTCCTCGAGTGGACATTGTTTATTATGACGGGCGACAGTTCGTGGTTTGATCGGTGGTGATGGAATTTAACCAGTTTAGTTTCAGAGACATAGAATGTAACCAGCCTTTTTTACCACACTAGGAAATTAGTGTTAGATCGGTAGAAAGTTCAGCTGACAATCTCTAAGCATCAAAACTTTTAGAGGCGCGGCCGGATATCGTCGTATCATCGGCATAAACGTTTACAAATGAATGGAATGTATTTTTTGGTGGATCATTTATGTACATCAGAAAGATGGCTGATCTGAGAAATGTCCTCTGGGGAAAGCTTGCAGAGAGTGGCGATCTACCTGTTAAGAAGGATTTTATAATAGAGAAAACCCTTACAGTGATTACATCGCTGGAGAGCCTGTGTCGCAAAAAATCGTGCCACACCTTGAAGGTCTTCGTGATATTATTGTTAAGGCCCTTGCGGTCTAACCGTCGTCAAGGGACTCACTAATTCTTTATGTAATGATAGAACATCGGCAGTGGATCGGGCTGATCGAAACTCATACTACTCGTCGCACAAGAAATTGTTCCTGTTCATGTGCCCAAAGACATTCTTGTTGATTAAGGCCCCGCCAAAACTTACTGATAATACTGAGAAGATTAATGGGTCTGTATTGGGAGGTGGGGATCTGTTGCCTGTGTTCTTGAACACCGGGCATGCGTTGCCACCTTCCCCATGCTTGGGAACGATTTCTTCCTCAAGTATAGGTTAAATCATTTTGCTAGAATCGTGAATAATTCTGGGTTGATATTCTTGTGGACGACCTTTGGGATTTTGTCTGGACTAGTAGTTTTTTTTTTTTTCTGGCCGATGCTTTTGATAAGTGTAAGTATTTCTCTTGTTGAAATGAAAATATTTCTGACATTGAGCTCCGTGAGACGTGTAAGTTGGGGGGGGATGGCCTTTGTCATCTATCGTTGAGTTTGCGATAAACATCGAGTTTAGCCTTGTCTGTCAAGGAGGATATGACCTCGGAGCCATTTAATGGACACAGCCGCTTTGCCTCTTTTTGGCATTAGGTTGGTGGTTTTCCGGTATTGGCGAAACCCAAATTGTTTGTTTTCAACACTGGCTTTCATAGATCGCGCATAGCTGTATTTTGCATTTTCCAGAACTCTCTCACAGGAAAAAAGTAAGGGAAAATCTTCATCTCTCTTTGCGATATATGTTGAAGTAGTGGTTCCGGTGAGATCTGACTGCAGCGCATTCAGTGTTGAACCTGGGCTGACTGGCTTTTTGTTTGGACTTTTTGGTGGAGATAAAACACTCCATTGCAGAAAGGTTCCATTCAGCGATTAGGGCAGCATTTATGGAATTGAGGCATTGATACACGTTTCAGAGAGGAACAGAAAGTCAGGTTTAGATTGAGGAATATGGAATTCCACTTCTGAAAAGTTGGAAAGTAGACCCTTACATTGGTGTAAGGGTTGGTATAAATCGGGTCTACCTTTTAAATTTGGAATTGCTAGTTTTCCATTTAATGAATAGTAGGCAGTGAAACAGTCGCCCATTGGATATGTACGCCTAAATATATTGCGTTGATTCACCCGGCGATACTGCCGTAACACTACCCATCAACATGACATCGAGTTGGCCCCACCGGCGACTACCTCACATTCCAGAAACCATTCATAAAATGGCAGTACAATAGACCCGGTATTATATACCTGCTGACAGTATAGTCCCCTTCGATGTTACTCGAAGATTCTGATCCCTGGCAATTAGACGGATAACACCAAAATCCAGAAAACGCTTATCTGCAACACCCTTAATGAAGGGACAAATAACCCAGGAAAGATTCAGGCGTGATACTCCGAGTTTACGCGTCCCGTTCGTTTGGAGGTCACGGCAACAGAATTCTTCCTCGTGTCAGAAATATTGTACCGGCCATTGAACTAGGGTACAAGGGCAAGCTACATGACGACCTTTTGGGAAAAGGGTGGTGTCGAAGGTTGCTCGGTGGTGCATGTGTATCCCCTGGCTCCATTTCTGTTAGTATCAGAAGCATAGGTGTTAGGATGAGGGCATACGATGGGATGTTACCTGTTCTATTAGAGAGAGAAAGAGAGAGAAAAATGGATAAAATGAAGATGTAATTATTCCTGTCACAGACGCGAGACTGGAATTGACCGTCGTTCTGAGAATAAACTAGTATCGGCTGGGCAAGGAGGCAGGAAAAAGATTAAAGAGAGGCGTGATAGCTATAAAGTTTTAACTAAGAAACTCTCTTTGAAAGGCATACATATTTGCTCAACAGCCAGATAAACTTTCATTAAATATAAGGTTTTGGGTGGCGAGAGTGAACTAAACAGTTTGATATTAATAGCAATGGAGAGAACAATATACACGACAGGAAGCCGGAAAGATAAAAATATCAGATAAAAAAACAGCGAAATATTAACAAAATAACACACCCACAAAATCAAAACAGATATTTCAACATTTAAAGCAGCAAAATGACAAAAGGTAGTGTATCTTACTTACACTGCTTTCTTCCAATCTCTAAATTTGACTTATCTTTATTTTAATAAATTATTATTTCTTTTTTTGACTAAATGTATATATTTTTCTTTTCCATGTCTATAATGATTTAAAGTTTTAAGAATATATATGTAGAGGAAACAAATAGAATAAAATAGACAACTGGAAAATAGTACTTAGTCCTTGCCGAAAAATTTCGTCTTCCGACTTTATCAAAGCAAGTGATAATAAAAGAAAAAAGTTACTAATTTCCAAAACGAGGCTGGCACAGGAGCGTCTTTTGAAATTTTTGAATTTCATGTAACTGCATAATATTTCGCTTTTGTTTATCATCACTTGTCTTGATAAAATGAACTGACGAAATGCGTCGGCAAAGACTAAATGCTATGTAATATCCATCCTCTTATATGGCAGTGAGTTTTAGAAAATCTCCTTACAGATGTGGAGAAAACAATGCGGTTCTACAGAACGATACTGAAAATTCCATGGACAGAAAAAGTAAGCAACTAGGAAGTTTCAAAGAAAATGGCAACAGAAAGAACGTGTATTCAAAGAATCAGGAAAAGACATAAGTGTTGAGGAGTCCACCCCTTTTTATACAAATGGACTCACCCAGTGTATACTTATACTACTGCCAGTGAATACCCGTAGAGTCGAGTCGAGTCCAGAGTGACAGAGTAAAAGGTTGTAGGTAACCGGAAGAGTGAGGTGAGAGTGAGGTAACAGCGTTGCAGGAGTCAGGGTGAGCGAACACGTAGACTCAGTAAGAAGTCGTACAGCGATACTTCAATACCAAAGACTGTTTATATATTTTGCTACTAGCCCGTATTCCTGGAACTACTAACTTGCTTTACCAGTTTGTATTATTACGTTAATATATTATATTCATATATTCATTCCTGGCGTTTGTTATTTATTGGTACCGGATTTCAACCCGGAATCCACAACAATAAATCCTTGAAAAATCGTAAAATCCTTGGACAAATAATGAGGAATGCAGGCTTGAAAAACCCAACCCTCACGGCGCATAGCGAGGGCAATAAAGATAGGGAAATACAGGGATCCACTTACCTGGCTAACTTGTGTGAACCGATCGCACATCGGGGATTCCTTAGCAAACAGAGATAAGCATTTAATGACCACACCAGAAGTTGTGGAGGACCATGATATCTTATGTCTTGAAGGGGCACGAAACGTAACATGCTACAGAATCATTATATACATCTCCTATGTAGATCACATCACAGAGGACGCAAGGTGTAACAGGCACGTTAGATGAACACATCATCACCATCAAGAAGGGGTAGTTGAAATGGTATCGCCACGTCATAGAGCTTATGGA